CATTACTTCGGTTAGCCATTCTCCGGGACACCGAGGATGGAGGCATTTCCCGGGTCACAGAGCTCCGGTAAAAGTCAACAACATCATCACAATGGCAACTTGGGGCTCAAAAACATGGTGGTTCCTGGACTGTGGGAGAACTTGGCTTCGTGGGAGAGCGGCAGCAAGGCCGTGAGCGGTTCTAGGCATGTGGAAGGGTGGCAGTGAAGAATGGAGTAGTGACTGAGTTGGAAATGTCATTCAAATGTTTAATGTTGAGAGTCTCCCACTCCCATTGAGTGTGCTACCAAAAATTCTAGTAACTGAAAACGTGACAAAGGTGAAGTTGTAAGGTGAAGTTGAGAAGCCAGGGCTGTGGTGGACACCCCCAACTCCCTTGAGAGCAAAAGCACTGGCCTGGGGTTGAGTTTGGAGTTGGCCAAAGGTGAGCCAACAGAGCCTGGTGCTTGAAGTTTGTGGTTGGAAGGTCAGCACTCTCAGCTATTTTATCTCTGAAGGTAGGTTTAACTTTAGAGAAACATCTCCCAGTAACTGATGGAGATGCGCCCAGCTGCAAACCAGGCTCCGTGAAAGACCTGGGTTCTGATCTCATGTCTCAGCTTCCAGCAGCTGATGCAAAGAGTACCATAAACAGGGTGGGTTCAAACAACAAGAATGCATTCTGTCTTGGTGCTGGAGGCTAGAAGCCCAAAGTCAGGATGTCAGCAGAGCCAGGCTCTCTCTGGAAGTTCTCGAAGCAGATTCATCCTGTCTCTCTCAGCTTCTGGGAGCCCAGGGCTTCTCTGGCTTGTAGAGGCATCTTCACACAGCATCCTTCCTCTGTCTGTCTCCTCCTCTCTTATAGGACACCACACAGAAGGGATTAGGACCCACACTACTCCAGTCTGTATGCTGAGCAAATAATCCGAGAGGCTGAACTACACAAAGAAGAACGTGCCATCAGGACTGAAGGAAGACTCATTAACAATCTGAGATATGCAGATGACACACCTTGCTTGCTGAAAGTGAAGATGACTTGAAGCACTTACTGATGAATATAAAAAAAAACTACAGTCTTCACTATGGATTACACCTCAACATCAAGAAAACGAAAATCCGGACTTGAATTAATGCCCTGCCATGTGATTTGCTAACATCGGGACTGTGCCATTTTCCTTGTCAACCTTGGGCTTGGCAGCCTCGGCAGCCAGCAGCTGTCTGAGTGAAGAAAAGCCTCTAGCTTCAGTGGGCCGGGAGCTGGAGGCAGAGCTGAAGCCCAAGGCTGAGGGGCTTTCACCCAGCCCCTAGAGCCTGGCACTTTGAACTCAGACTTAAAGCTTCCAGACTGTAAGAGAATAAACTCCTTTGTGTTCAAGCAAAAGAAAAAAAAAATCCTCACAACCAGACCAATAAGCAGCATTACAATCAATGGAGAAAAAGATTGAAGTAAAGGTTTCCTATTACTCGTATCTCCTATCAACACCAATGGAAGCAGCAGTGAAGACGTCAGACATATTGCACGGGGCAAATCTGCTGCAAAAGGCCTCGTCAAAGTGCCGAAGAACAAATGTCTCTCTGAAGACTAAGGTGTGCCTAACTCAAGCCGTGGTATTTTCAATCGCCTCATATGCATGTGAGGGCTGGACAACCAATAGGGAGGACTGAAGACAAGTTGATGCTTTTGAGTTGTGGTATCAATGAAGAACATTGAAAGTCGCATGGACTGCCAGAAGAACTACCAGATCTGTCCTGGAAGAAGCGCAGCCTGGAATGCTCCTTGGAAGCGAGATTGCCCAGACTTCATCTCACCTACTTTGGTCATGTTGTCAGAAAGGACCATTCCCTGGAGAAGGAAGTCATGCTTGGTAAAGTGGAGGGTCAGCAAAAAAGGGGAAGGCCCTCAGCAAGATGGATTGACACGGTGGCTGCCACGATGGGCTCAGGCACAGCACGGATTGTGAGGCTGGTGCAGACCAGGCAGGTTTTTGTTCTGTCATAAATAGGGTCGCCATGTGTCAGAGCCAACTCACTGGCACCCAACAACAACAGCAACTCCTCCAGTCTGGCCTCCTGTTAACTGAGAACATCTACAAAGACTCTATTTCCAAATGAGGTCACTTTCACAGCTACCAGGCTCAGGACTTCAACATGTCTTTTTTGGGGGCACAATGCAATCCATCCACCTCATGATCTAGCTACTAGACTTTCCAAAGAAGTGGTTACCCAAGAAAAATGGTATAAAACATGCATTTTCTTTGGTGTTGTCTCAGCCATTATAGACTTTTAATATCCAAAGAGCTAAAAACAAGAAGTGTAAAATCTGTTAGAAGGTGAAAAGGACCTCAAGAAGCCACCTAGGGAAGTCAATCTGCATTTCAACCCTTCAGTGCCATTGAACTTGAACTGCCTCCTTTCTTTAAACAACTGCCTTAAACAAAGTCTATTTGTATCAAGCCCAAGTATGTCTACCAACAGAGTGCAGCAATTCATAGCAGTCCTAACACTGTGGAGCAAGGAAAAGTCTACATCACGGAACAGTTCTTTCAAGAACGCTAAGTGTGTCCCTGATTTATCAAGGAGGCCCACAAGGCCCAACGCGAACTGGCCTGTATTGCCTCTCTGCCCCCGGCCTGCAGCTCTCCTCTAGCCTCCATCAACTGCTCTCTGCTCCTCTGCTTTCCCAGTGCCTCTCAGCTCCTCCCACAGGAAGCCGGCTCTGTTCCCTCTCCCTCCTCACCCCCCCCCACACACACACCCTTCCAGCTCCTTCTCTTTTTCAACCCCCACGAATCAATCTCTGCTCCCTCTGGTCCAAATCCCACCTCGGCTCCCTCTCCCTCCACACCACCCTCCATTCCTCCAGCACCTCTCTGGTCCACCCTCCCTGTGCTGGCCTCTGTCAACTCCTGGCCTCTATCCCACCCCCCACCCCCACCGTTCCCCACATGAATTGCCTCCTGCTGCTTCTTCCACCTCCCTACTGCAATCTGGTCCAGGCCCTGTGCACTGACCTCTACGACCTGTCTGAACCTACTCAACTCCCAACACCTCTTGGCACACCCTACGTGAACTGACATCTGCTCCCTGGAAGCCCCCCCCCAACTCCTACGTGTTTTGTCCAGCCACATTTCAACCATGACCCCCACCCTGCCCCTCCACCTTTCTGGCCCAGACCCACTTGCACTGACCTCTGCTCCTCCGTCCCCTCTACCTCTGGTCCATCTCTGTCCCCATTGTCTCCTCTGAACAACTGCAAACCAGCCTGCCAATGGCTGCTTTTCATCCACGTGTTACCTGCCGTGCTCTCTGTCCCTGAGACCCCGGAAAGACCTTATTTCACACAGGGCAACATTAAGCAGAAGGCAATAAAGTTTCCAGTGAAGTGGGAGAGAGTCCAGTCTTTCCATTCTGCTGAGATCATGTGAGTTTACTAGAAAGCACCAACGCAATGTGGGCCAGATTCTCCCAAAAACTGCTGTCTACAGTTCATTCTAAAAGCTTCACATGTCCACATCCAACAATGAGGCTTCCAGGAGAACCACAACAAAGCTTACAAACGAGAAGGAACATCTCTGAAACACCCCCTTTGCGAGCACCTTACAGGTTAGGCTCTTCCTGCTGAATTCCATTTGATGTCATCCTGCACAAGGGATCCAAGGGCCCTGGAGAAGTAGCGGCTTGCACCACTCAAGGAGTGGCAGGCCCATGTGGGAAGCCAGGGCTGAGGTGCCTCTGTGCACTTCCCCCGCGGTTCCCCAAAAGCCACCTCCAAAAGGCTCCTGTGGGCAGTGCAGAGGTGCTGGCAGCTCCAGACTCTGGTGGAGGCCCAGGGCATGGCTCTTCACCATACCTCCCAGGTGGGATTGTGAGGTAGAATACAGCATGGGAATGTCCACATTAACAAAGAACACCTATCAAAAAGTCTGAGTGGGGCATATTGACACTATTACGTGTTGTTTATCTGAAATTCAGTCACCTGGGGGTCCTGAATCTGGCAAGCCCATGGCTGGGGTCAGGATGCATGCAGGGCCATTCTCCCCATGCCCGTGGGCATGAACAAGCATCCCAGCCTTGGTGCTCTTTCCTGTTGCTCCCCACCCTCCAGGGGCAGACACTGGAAGGCCTCGCACCAGCACTTGTACCTCCTGCTGGTTCATCCCATTCAGGGCCACGATTGGGGCTCCCAGAGGTGATTCGGTCTGACCCAACTCCAGAGCTCCTAAGAGATACCATGAGCAAATTAACTCAGTATAGTGTGGCTGAGTTCAACTGAGTGGCACCCCAATTTGGGGTCTCTACATTAGTCCCAGCACAGTTCACCACGGAGACTCTCCCAGCCACACTTTGCCAAAAGGACTTTTAGCACATCATTTAGGCGAAATGGAAACTCTACTGGTTTCACAAACAGACAGGTCCCCAAGACCTGAGACAATTCAAGCCAAGAAAATGGTGAAGAACTAGGTGCCGACATCCATGGGCTGGTAAGGAGCTCTTTATTTACCAGGCTGCCTTCCAAGTGAGGGCTGAGAAGATTAAACGCCAAGTCAAGGTTAAAGAACTCGTGCTTAGAAAATAAAACACTCAGAACAAGAAAGGGTTTATTTTTAAGACAAAACAAAGAGCATCAGTCATTGGAATGCCAGTGGGTGAGTTGACCAGGTTTTAAAAAAGAGAACACTATGGTCTGGTGTCAACTAAAGACGAGAGCCACTAAAGAGGTGAAGCGGGGGCAGCTATTCTGTGTCTGGAAGTCCACGGAAATGCAGGAAAAGAGGGAAGCAATGCAAGGCCGAAGGGCAGGTGGGCGAAAGCATGTGCCCCCTCTTCTCCATTCTAATGTGCTCTAGTTCTGCTTCAGGGAAGGCAATCAGTGGGTCATGTTACAAAGAACCTTAACATCAAAGAAGACATTCAAAAGGAGGAAAGAGACTCGAGGTTGGTACTGAAGTTATCTAAGGGGTCAGTCGGGGGAGAAGTTGGTATTCTCCAGAGTCCTCCCACGCCGCAGGCACTGGATCTAGTTAGTAGAGGCTGGTCTTCTTCATGATCCGCAGGAACTCCTGCTCGCTGACTTCTCCGTCCCCGTCCCGATCCGCCTCATCGATCATTTCCTGTGCCACGGCAAGGAGTCAGGCTAGGGTAAATCGTAACCACAACGGAAAGGCTGCTCCTAACACTACGTGACTAGACCATGGAGTCCCTCATTCACTGTCAAAATATGACCATTCTGTGATAGCTCGGTTCTTGCAAAGGTCTTTGCAAACCAAGACCCCCTCGGTCACAAGCATTATCAATGGAAGGGAGGGCCAAGATGATCCTTACTGGGGTGGAGTTGGGGAGTCCTGAAACTAAAACAGGGCGTGGAATGGGGAAGGGGGTCCAGAGATTTGTCAGGTTATCAAAGGAGAACTTAAGCGGGGCAGAGGGACAACAGCACACACGTTTGCCTTGAAAGAAGCACTCACAGCAGGGAAAGGGACTGAGACCAAGATGCCATACAGACCTGCAGCTCCTCATCAGTGAGGTTCTCACCCAACTCCTTGGCCACACGCTTCAGGTTTTTGAAAGATATCTTCCCGGTTTCATCATCATCGAAGAGCTTGAAAGCTTTTAGGATTTCTTCTTTGGTGTCTTTCTCAGACTTAACAAGAACAGAAGGGCGCATGAGGAGAGTGCATGGTCGCCCATTACCCCGACAGCCCCGCGACAGCCCAACATCCTCTTCTTCAATAACTTGACTCAAGCCTGGACTTGGGTCAAGTCTTTGGAAGCCTATTTGGGCCTCAGGGCCAAACCAGGCTTTCCAACCAAAGTGAAATCTGCTCTCCATCAGGTTCAGAGTTCAGAAGGAAGAGGGGTCTCCTCGCTGTGTGTTATGGATGGAATTGCATCCCCCAAAATAAAGGTTGTAAATCTGAACTCCTAGAGCTATGGCTAGAATCCCATCTGGGAATGAGCTGTCTTTGCTATATTCATGAGACAGGAGCTGCATACGATGTGTCTGGAGTCCATCTCTCTTGGGCTACAAAAGGAGCAGATGGAGCGAAAAAGCAAAGCAGCAGAGATGGGGGAAGAGAGATGCCAGGTCACCTGAAGGCCACCAAGCACCAGCCGTGGAAAAGAGCCACGTCTTCCCCTGGAGCCCCGACTGCAGACTTCCGGCTTCCTACACCGGGAAGACATGTATTTGTGTGTAAACAGCACCCTCTTGTGGTGCTTCTGTGGCAGCAGCACATGAAAACTAATCCTGAAAGCCAAGGCAGCGGGAGAAACTGGCACAAGGACTTGTTGGGGAAGGAGGGCAAGCCTCTCAGCGTGGCTGCCACCTGCACCCGCGGCTGGTGAGACTGTCTGAGTGGGTGGGGCTGCGGGCCTCCAAGGGCCCTGGCCTTAGCTGCTCAGTACCCATGACCACAGCGGGGTGTGTCTACACCACCGCCCAGGTATGCTCCTCTTCCCCTTGTTCAGAACTTTCTCCCATTCGGAAGCCAAGGAAGAGTCTGGGGGGGTTACCTTCTTGGATTCATCCCCTAACCCTCTGCCCCACCTTAGGGATAGCCTTTATGCCACAGGCCCCATGTCACAGGAGATCCAACAGCACGCAGAGGAGCGAAAGGCTAAAAATGAAACATCAAGGAGTAGGACTGAAACACCAAAGGAGGAACTGGACTCCTTTTAAAAATGTTGGAGCAGTGGGTGGAATTAAAATAAGGGGAAACATACTCCTTAAGCAGGTGGACCAGGGATCCCCTTAGGGAAAAATGCTAGAATCCCGGTGTAACAAGTCAGGGAGCCCGCCCACCGGCCAGAGGGTTCTGTCACTTGTTATTAGAACACTGAGAGGCAAACAGAGAAAGAGCCCACACCCCAAACATTCCTGGAAGACACCTGCCCCTGGCTAAGGATGAGAGGCCCCTACACAGAGCCCTCTGGGAAGCAACCTTAACACCGACTCAGCTTGGTTCAGTGGTTACAGAATGCTGAGCTCCCTGATTGGGCCACAAAGCAAGCGTGGGTATGATGAGACAATGGCCAAACAACAGAATTACCAGAGGGAGACTGAGGGACAGCCTGTGCCCTGGGGCCTGTGCCTGGGACAGCAAGTACAGGGGAGAGGAGACACTCCACAGAGGAGCCAGGACACTGATGTGGCCCAATGGGACTGCTTCCTATGGGAGAGGACTCAGGGGAGTGCGATGGACGGTGAGGAGATGTCTTATGTTCACTTGACCTCTTGGGGCCTTTCAAAGAGTGATACCCAAGAGACTGGGAAGAACCACAGCACCAGTGCTGATTCTGCAGGCTTACACATGCACCCCTCAGGCTGAGGTGGACCAGAAGGAAAAACTGGAGAGAAGAATGCTGAATTTCAAAGTGTGCAGACTTTGATTAAACTTTGGTAGGAGGGCTTAAAGTGGAGGGGGCCTAATTTTGAATAATAAAATTTGAATGGTAGGCAGGCACTTTGCACTGTAAGAGTGTGAGACATTTCAAGATCACAAGTGGTTGTTGTTTAAACTGCATGTGGTTATAACATTGACCTCTCGGTTGGAGAGAGATCCATTATCTTACAAAGGATAAAATGACTTCTCCTTGACTCTGGCCTTAAAGAAAGCCAAGGAGAGGCTAAGCAGCCTGATTCTCAGTGTGAAATGCTATCCTTTATCAGATAAACTCACCAGAGTTTATTGCCTTTACTTGAATGAAGTAATTTCCTTCCCTGTCTAGATTCAAATTCATCCACCACTACAGACAATATGCTGACAACTTAGCTAACTTACCATTTTCTGAGTCATCACAGTCAAAAAATCACCGAAGTTCATTTTTCCTGTACCTTCTTTATCAATTTCGCAGGTCATTTTCTTGATCTCTTCCTTCTTGGGCTCAAAGCCCAGGGCCCTCATTGCCACCTACCAAGAAAAAAAATGGACCCCATCACAGTATGCCAATTCAGACCCAGCAGGAACAGAAGTGGCAGTGTTGAGAGCACTAAGGCACATCTGATATGATATTAAAATGACTGGGGAACTATAGCATTGACCTGATATCTGCAATCAATTTTATTCAGTAACACTTGAGGTAGGTAAAAACAGTAGGGAAAAAGCCCCAAACCAAAGTCTGTCCTCCCCTGATATTTTTGGCAGGAAAAACAATGTGGATCTAAATGAAGACAGGGAGAGGAGGAAGAGGCAGAGAAGGGCAGGGCACTACAGCAGGAATGAGAATGCTTGCCTTAAGTTCTTTGACATCAATGGTGCCACTTCCATCGGCATCAAAGAGATCGAAGGCTTCACGGATTTCCTGCCTCTGCTCTTCAGTGAGCTCAGGCTTAGAACTCATCCTCTTTCGCTGTGAAGTCGATGCCATGTTTGCCTTCTTAAAGTTGCAGGCCTTTAGACATACAAACACACGAGCTCAGCAGTAGGTAATATAGTTCCTGTTTTACATATGAGAGTTACAGACAACCACAAAACCCAACCCGGTGCCATCGAGTCAGCCCCTGACTCATGGAGACCCGATGTGATACAGAGAATTGTCCCAGAGGGGTCTCTTGGGTGTGGCCTTGACTGATGCACATTGCCAGGCCTTTCTCCCATATCACTGGGTGGGTTCCAATCACCTACCTGAAGGTTGATAGATGAACACAACTGATGGCACCACCCAGGGACCTTAGGACAACCGTATCTATTCTAAAAATACTACCAGTTCCAAAGTTTTGCTTCAGAGGAGAGCTAACAGGGTTTACTGGAAGAAGAATGACTTTCAAGACAAAGTTCCTTACTAGCTTTGTAACTCTCAACATCCTCATCTTTACAGTGGAACTGAAAACCCTCAAGAGACCACTGTGGCAAAGACATTTGCTACCCCATCTAAGGACAGGGCCCGATCCTCTTGTGGTCCACAGAGGTGCTTGACAAGTGTTAGCTGATTCTGAAGGGAATCCTGGGAGAGTTAGCCCTCTGTGCTTCACCTCCCCACCCCATACCCCCTCCCCACCAAACACTCCTTATTTACCATTGTTTCTAGAGGCAAGGGGATCTCTTATTCTTTTGGATGCTTCTTACTGAAAATCACCCCAAAGAGAGCTAGCCAAAGGGCTGCCTGTGTAAATCAGTTCTAGATGACTGGGGAATTCTAGTTTGGAAGTGGCCTTACAATGCCCACTAACAGTCCTCCACGTTCCTCTAAGCACTTTAACTTTCTGGTTACATTTGACAAATTTAACTAACTTGTAAAGATTTCTGTTCTGTCGTATCAATTCATGAAAGTAAACCCACTAGGCACCTCATGACTTCTCCAAAAAGCTCAAAGCGGTTCACCAATGTCTCTGTATTTAAATTTTTAAATTCGTGTTAAATAAGAATGGAACTCCCCCCCACCAACTCTGTCCGGAAACTTTGGCAGTAGGCCACGGTCTGAGTGAGGTCGAGGCCTGCGGGAAACTCAAGTTATTCCTGCCGAGGAACAGTCAACGAGGAGGCTGGGGAGGCCGGGGGAAACCGATCGGAGGGTCAGGCCGGCTGTGGGCAAAGGCAGGAAGCGGACAGAAGAGGGACCCAGCGGGGAGGCCAGTGTCTCGACCCTACCCTTCCGGAACACGCTTCAGAGGAAGAAGGGTGCGCAGAAGCTCAGGAATGCGCAGCAGAGGCCCCGCGATCCGCCGGGTGTGAGAGCCCTGAGCCTCAGTAAGCGCCGGCCAGGACCAGACTGCCTGCACTTACCATCGCTCACCTACTCCAATGGCCGTTGTTACGGCAACGGACGTACACACATGTCCCACTGCCCCCTGCGCGCATGACCCCGCTCCCCATTGGTAGCCGCTCGCCGCCGCCGCTCCCCATTGGCACAGAGCCAAAGTGGGTGGGATTAACCTGCCCGCGCGCCAGCTGGGGGCGGGGAGAAGACGCGCTCCAGCCAGGGCTGGACGATTGGTCAGGTTCACGCAACGAGCGCCGATTGGCGGGCCCGGCGCCGAGCTGAGCCAATCCTGTGGATGGAGGGGCCTCAGCCGATTCTGGCCTCACGCGGGAGGAGAAAGGGGTGGTGGCGGACCAGAGGTGCTTTCTGTGCGGGCGGCCAGCGAACTGAGACGGCCAGGGAGTCGACGGAGCGGTAAAGTGGCGGTGAGTGGCTGGGGGGCGGGCCGGCTGGGGCCTTCTGACCTGAGGCTCGGTTAGGTAGAGGATCGGAGGGCCGAGCGGACCGTGACCTTGCGTGTTGGAGCGGGCGTGTCTACCCAGGGAAACTGAGACCTAGAGAGAGGAAGGGACGTACCAAGCCTAAGAGCCCCCGAGGTGCGGACCGCTAGGTCTTAGAAGCACAATACCTGCCGCTCCAGATCCGGAGAGCACCCCAGGCTGAGCCAGCTGACTAGTCCCCAAACCAGGTTCCGAGAGAGGATCACTAGTTCTCGCCTGGCTAAAAGCAGCCCAGGAAGGTGAGCTGGGGGTCTAAGGAACGGTCTTTGACAGGAGTGAAGGCAGTGTGAGCCTAGGATGACAGGAACATTTCAGGCGGAGGCGCCGCTAAGAGCAAAGTCTCCTGGAATTTGAAAGTATGGTGCCCGTTCGGAATGTGAGAAGGGGACGTGTGCGAAGGTGTCAGGTGAAATGAGCTGCAGAAGGGAGCTGGGGTCCCCCCAGTGGAATAGCACTCGGTGGCTCCCGCTCCCTCCCTACTTCCCCTCCAAGCCCTGGGGCAATGAGGTGGGAGGCAGAGGACTCAGCTCAAGTTTCTCTGGCTGGCAAAGGCCCCTTCAGTGGAAGTGTTCGCCACCCTTCTTCCCTCTGCCCCTTTGATCAGTGAACCAGGTTCCCAACTGTCCTGTCATATTTGACGCTTTCCCTGTCAGTCCTACCTCCAATGAGGTCACCTGATGAGGCTGCAGTGTTGCAGCCCCTCACGAGCCCCCATAGCACTGACCGCCTTCTCACCTACTGTTTTGTATATTGATTCTGTTTTTTGTCACCCTCCTCTAGAGGGAGAGGTCTTGCTTTGGTTCACTGCTGGCACTCCAGTCCCATGGCCAGTGAGTGGCATGCTTTAGGTGCTTGGTAAATCAGGGTTGAGTTTGAAGGACTAGTGAGGACCCTCCCTGTTTCTACCTCTCACCCAATGGCACCCCTGCTCCCATGACTGAGGGATAGAGTCCTGACACCTTCCCTTGGTATCTGAGCCCCTGCCTGGTTTCGTACCCCCACACTTCCCCTTCTAGCCTCAAGTTGCTCCACACCCTATTTCCCAGGCAGTCTATGGGATGGCAGCCCAGTGTGTGGTAAGGAACAAATTTTGCCTTGGCTGTGTGACCTTGAACAAATCACTTGGCCTCTCGGAGTCTTGGTTTCTCATCTGTTGAATGAGATCACATCTCCCTGGCATCTAGCAGTGTGATGTGCTCTCGTCACCCCTCTACTAGGAAGGCCTTGAGCCTTGGACCTGGCTAACATCACTCTCCACATTGCAGGCTGAGTGATCTTGCCAAAGTTTGTATTCGATTGCAACCCTCACCCCTACTCGCACTGCTCGGGGCTCCCCAGCTCCCCACAGGTAAATCCCTAACCTGACACAAGCCCCTGCATGCCCCTGACCCTGCGCCCCATCTCACTCACTTACTGGGATGCAACTTGGCACAGAACACACTGGCCCTGTGCCTCATCCCTTACCCTGCCTGTGGACAGGACACCCACTCTGGGCCAGTGAGGTGGGAGGCAGAGGACTCAGCTCAAGTTTCTTTGGCTGGCAAAGGCCCCTTCAGTGGAAGTGTTCGCCACCCTTCTGCCCTCTGCCCCTTTGATCAATGAACCAGGTTCCCAGCTGTCCTGGCGTATTTGACGCTTTCCCTGTCAGTCCTACCTCCAGCGAGGTCACCTGATGAGGCTGCGGTGTTGCAGAGGCACAGGGCCTTTAGGACCCAGCTTGGGGTCGCCCTTAGGCCAGACTGCCCTGAGCCAGCAGCCTGCGTGGTTGGTGCTCTGAGTTTGCCCACATCAGAACCCAAATGTGCCTGTGCAACTCTGTGCTGCCTCTGGCACCTGCACTGGGAGTTTTCAAGTTCTGCTTGGCAGGGGCTGGCGTCTGGTGACGTGGAGAGCAGCCCCCCACATGACTGTTAGTTGACCGCTGCTTCAAGTAGCTCTAGTGTGGTTCTCCTGTAGTCTCTATTTTCCTCAAAAGGAGATGGCGTAAACGCAAACACTATCAGGCAAAAGAAGTTTCTGTTGATACAATAGAAATGTCTGTCTCTCCGTGTGTCTTTAAGTACAGGGAAGGTGATCACAGACCAGACCATATTTTGAGCCGAAATGGAACAAGACGCTCGTGAGCAAACAAGAGATCAGGTCGCACGGACACAGGTGACAAAGGAAATCCCTGAAGTGAGTACTGACACAAACACTGTTAACCAGAAGCAGGTGACATGTATGGACCAGCTAGTTGTTTAGGTTTACCTTGATGAACAGTTGTATTTAGTGCCTTTATTAAGGTACTCAGTGTTGCTTATTATTTTCTTTATATAGGACATATGTCTTTCTTTAAGATGGATCTGTCACTGCTGTGTCACAAACATCAGAACATGATAGTTTCAAACAGCCACCATTGCTTTGGTCATGATTCTGCATGTGGGTTGGGCCTACCCAGGGGACCCTGGGTGGTCTTCCCCAGGCTCACTCATACAGCTGCTGGCATCTGAGAATCTCCTGGGGTGTATGTTCTAAGCTAGCCTCACATGCGTGTCTGGCAGTAAGTATTGGCTATTACTTGGGTGCCTTGGTTCGCTTCCGTATGCCCTCCCAGCAGGCTAGCCTGGGCTTCTTGGTGTGATGGCAGAAACGTTCCCAGAGGATAACAGCGGCAGTTGCAAGGCCTCCTAAGGTCGCACCTCATAAGTCTTAGAAGGGATTTTAAGGAATTGAGTCCAGTAGTTTTCAGACCTCATGGAGGGACTTCGTGTAGATCCGCAAAGGTTTGGCTTGATTGACCTTTAATGATTTTTTGGGTGAAAATTTACAGAGCAAATTCACTTTCCATACAGCAGTTCACGTACACTTTTGTCTCATGACATTGATTACAATTTACCCCAATGCAACAGCTCCCCTCCCACTTCTTCCCCATAGTTACCTCTTCCCTGTGTCCATCCCTCCATGCACTCCTGTCCCCTGAGCTGTCTCCCTGTGCATACACAGCCCTTCTTTCTCCCATGATTGTTCTCTCCAAGGAGTGTATCTACCTCAGATAAATGTTCAGCTCATATGCCTGTCTTTTGTTTGC